TAGCTAAACAATATCGACTTTTGGACACATGCGCAGGAGAACCCCTAGCTGTCAATCAAGCAGGCGCGGATAACCATTATGACGCTCAAGTGTTTCAAATGACGCAACAATACAGCTCCAGGCCAGGTAAAGTTTCTTCCTGTCAAAGATATTATTCAGTTCCACACTAAAACTGCGATTTGACAAGAGTGATTTGAGGTGAGTCAAATATTTAGCAAAGTTTACAATACATTAACCATCCGCTAGCCTACTTCACTTAGTTGACAACTCAACCAAATGTTAATCAAAACTAGATGTTAAACCGACATCTGTGCCCAATGGGATATCACAGTTCAATGTCAAACAGATTGATGCAACAATACTCTTTACATTGGATTGAAAAAGGTTCATATTCTTACTGATTGAATGGCAATCTCAGTCTTTTAAGAGGCCATCTGCAATTGCTACATCTATTTTGAACTTTATAATTAATGATATATACCCATTGACTCTCCTAAATGTCTCATTGAGCTTAGTTCAACTATCTAACCCCATCAGAACCCAAAATATGAGTTTGTTTCACTCCAATGTTTGGAAACAATGTAATTGTAAACAAACCCTGTATAGCTTAAACAATATGGTTAAAACGATCATTTTGATCTCATGGATGGTTAGTCCTTGCACAAATAGCTACGTCTATGAATTTCTCCAGCCCCCATCCCCAAGCTGTTTATCCAAAAAGGTGACGGTGTGGCAGCTTTGTGGTTTGAACTACTGCTTGCTCCTTTAACATGTTGAGCTGTGATCTCCATTCACTTTGTGTTATTTTGTGACAGAGAAAGTAGGCCGTGCTCTAAGGGGGGAACTTTTAATTTCTCTGAGGAGATGGACACGTCTTCTTCTTCTGGACGATCTCCGTCTCCTGAAGGGATTGTCTTCTTACCCCCTCCTATCATGTGGAACAGTCTGTAAGTCATTTGTCACATAACCTAGCTCTGGTCCAGGGCATTACGCACGGCTTGATGAAGGAAGGCTCAGTGTCAGCAAGCCGTACGTAACGCCCTGGACCAGAGCCACACATTACCCACATCTGGCCATCATGGACAGTCAACTCATCACATTCACGTACTGTAAGTCACAGTTGTGTGAGTTGTGTGATTAAAGGCAGTGTAATTGAGCAGAAGTTGAATTATTATTTAAATATTGTAATAAATTGTCAGAGTTCACTTCCTAAATAATGTGTTGCCATTCCTTTGCTCCCAGCTACAAGCAGGCAGAGATGGAGGTTCAGTTCCTGAGAGAAGAGAGGAAGTGCTGTACAGAGAAGGAAGCCCACATGCTTGAGGTGATGGGGAAGGATCGAACGATCCGAAATCAGAAGAAGGAGATGGACAGACTTCAAGTGTGCCTCTGGGAGGAGAAGAAGAAGAAGAGGAATGGTGGAATGGAGAAGGACGAGATGGTTGAAAAATTACAGTCTGAGACAGACAATCTCAGAGCCCTTTTAAAGGATGAAAGGAGCAGAAGAAGAGTAGAAAGGGGTGTAATGAAAGAGTGGAAGGCTGAGATCCTGAGACTGAGGGAGGCAGAGAGACTGAGACTGAGGGAGGCAGAGAGACTGAGGGAGGCAGAGATACAGAGGGAGGCAGAGAGACAGAGACAGAGGGAGGCAGAGATACAGAGACCGAGGGAAGCAGAGAGACAGAGGGAGGCAGAGAGACAGAGGGAGGCAGAGAGACAGAGGGAGGCAGAGAGACAGAGGGAGGCAGAGAGACAGAGGGAGGCAGAGAGACAGAGGGAGGCAGAGAGACAGAGGGAGGCAGAGAGACATAGGGAGGCAGAGAGACAGAGGGAGGCAGAGAGACTAGGGAGGCAGAGAGACAGGGGAGGCAGAGAGTAGACAGAGGGAGGCAGAGAGCCAGAGACAAATGGAGGAGATCAACAGACTCAAACAACTGGTGGATCTGCTGATAACGAAACTACAACTGGACCAGGTAAGATATGACATTGTTATTATTAAAAGGCAGTGTATATTTACCCGGCTGAAAATGAATGGCGGTGGATAGCGGTATGCTAACCCAATGTTAACTTTTATGCCTTTCTCTCACCTTAACCCTTACCTTACCTTAACCTCACTGAAACTATACCTAACCTTAACCCAACCCTAGGTCCTGAACCTAACCATTACCCTAACCTTAAACCAACCCTAGGTCCTGAACCTAACCATTACCCTAACCTTAACCTTAACCCAACCCTAGGTCCTGGAAACCTAACCATTACCCTAACCCTAACCTTAACCTTAACCTTAACCCAACCCTAGGTCCTGAACCTAACCATTACCCTAACCTTAACCCAACCCTAGGTCCTGAACCTAACCATTACCCTAACCTCAACCTTAACCCAACCCTAGGTCCTGAACCTAACCATTACCCTAACCTTAACCTTAACCCAACCCTAGGTCCTGAACCTACCCTAACCTTCATTTATCTCAACCCCTATGCCTTTCTTCTGCCTGTCGAATATCCACTTCCTTATTAATATCATTACTGTTGTTGTTGTTGTTGATGATGATAACTGTATGTGTGCAGGATGTAAATAATTACATCAGTGAAACATCATTTGTAGGAGTAATTTCTACAAGCATAAACATCAAAGGCAACATTGTTGTAACATCACACAAATTGTAACGGGTATTTCTCAAACCCCTAACTGAATGGGAAAACTAGTTGTGTGTTTGTATTTGTACAGATTTTGGACATAATGATTTTTTTCAAACCATGTCAATACATTCATTGACAATTAATTGACCAGATTAATTGGTCAAAATGACCCTGCTATTGATGTTGTCCAGTGTTTGATTCAATTACCTAGTTCTAGGTTTTATTTCTATGTATCATTCACTGCAAATCCTTTGAAAGTATGTCTTGGTCATAAATGAGCACTAATTGAACCTTTTAAAAATGAAGCAAGAGATAGCGATATTGAGGCTATGGCAGAAAGTCATGGAGGATCAGCGACCAAGACTGGCCTGGAACAACAAACCTATTGAGATGGAAAGACAGAGTGAAAGACAGAGGGAAAGGGAGAGAAAAGCAGAATTAGAGAGACAAGAAATGAAGGACAAAGTGAAACAGGCAGAGGAAACAATAAAAGCGTTAGAACGAGAGATTGAGAGATTGAAAGAGATTGAACAGGAAATAGCATTTGAAAGAAAAAGAGACATGCGTATTGCAGAGAATGAGGAAGTCAAACAGGTTAACAAAAAGGTAAAAGAGTTAGAGAGAGAGGTTGAGAGATTGAAAGAAGACATGACAACAAAAGAGATTCAATACAAAATAAAATTTCAAAGAGCGAAAGAAGCGTTTAGAAGACAGAATGAAAGAGTGAAACAGGTTAACAAAAATGTACTAGTGTTAGACAGAGAGGTTGCGAGAATGAAAGAAGAGATTAGATTGAAAGATGAGACTGGACCAGAGAGAAAGTTTGATAGAGACAGAGAGAGAGACAGAGAGAGAGATGGAGAGAGAGATGGAGAGAGAGATGGGGAGAGAAAGATGGAGATGGAGAGAGAGAGAGAGATGGAGAGAGAGACAGCCCTCATCAATGACAACAAGACGTCTGAACTGGAGGAAATCTTCAAGAATATCAAGGAACAGCTGACAGAATTAGAAAATATGGAAACAGACGAGTATACATGGAAACAGAACCAAATGGCCATGGAGGAGAAGACAGAGAGTGAAAACGACACACAGAAGAGGTAGAAAGAACGAGAAAAGAGAAAATACCAAAACAGGGACAACAAGAAGAGGAGAAGAAGAAGGAGATGGAGGGAGGAGAAGAAGAGGAGAGACAACAAACAGAAGCAAATAGAGATGGAAGAGGAAGAAAGAGAGAGGGAGGAGAACAAGAGATGCAAGGAGGATAGAAAGGAAAAAAGAGTATGGAGAAGAGACAGAAAAAAATCAAAGAAGAAGAGAGCAGAGAGAGATTGAAAGAAAGAGAATGGAGAAGAGACAGAAAAAAATAAAAAGACAAGAGAGACGAGAGAGAGAAAGACGATGAGATCTGAAAGAAAGAATTGAAGAAGAAGCATTTGGAAATCAAGAAATAGAGATGGAAAAATAAGAGGGGAAGAGAGAAAGGGCGGAGGGGGGAGAGAAACAAGAGATTAGATGAAAGGAGAGAGAAAAGAGATAAGAGTTATGGAGATGAGACAAGAAAAAAATTGAAGATGAAGGAAGAATTGAAGAAGGAAGAAGAGAGACCGAGAGAGATTGAAAGAAAGCAGAAGAAGAAAAAAGATTGGGTAAACAGAAAAAGAGATGGAAGAAGAGGAAGAAAGAAGGCGAGAAATGGAGAGGAGAAAGGAACAAGAAGTGCAAGGATATGGATAGAAAGGAAAGATATGGAAGAGAGACAGAAAAAAAATAAGAAGAAGAAGAGAGAGACAGAGAGAGAGGAGATTGAACAAGAAGAGAAGGAGAAGAGGACAGAAAAAAATAGAAGAAGAAGAGAGACAGATAGAGAGATTGAAAAGAAAGCAATGAAGAAGAAAGATTTAAACAGCAAAATAGAGCTGGAAGAGGAAGAAGGAAAAGGGAGAGGGAGAACAAAAGAGGCAAGGAGATAGAAAGGAAAAAGCGTATGGAGAAGAGACAGAAAAAAATAGAAAGAGAGACGAGCGAGAGATTGAACGAAAGCATGAAGACTAGAAACAGATGTAAACAGCCAATAGAGATGGAAGAGGAAGAAAGGGAGAGGAGGAGAAACAAGAGACAGAGAGAGAGAGAAGAGATAGACAGACTACAACAACAAGAGGAGAGACAGAAACAAATGGAGGAAAGAGACTCAGAATCAGAGAGAGATGGAATTAAAAGATCAGCAACACAAAGAGATGGAGGAAGAACAGATTGGAGGGACAGCAATGAACTGGAGAGGAGAGGGAAGAAAAGCAAGAAAGTGATTAAGGAAGCGAGGAGGAGGAAAGAGAAAGAGAAGAAGAGAGAAGAAAGGAAGTAAGCATGAAGAAGCATGTAGTAGTTAATGTTAAAGAAAAAGCACGGGAAGTCTTCAACAGGCGTAAACAGAGGAGGTTAGAAGTGTTGAAGGGGGAACGAGAACAAATGGAAAGAGGACAACAAATCAGGAGGGAGAAGGAGGAAAGACTGCTGGAGATGGAAAGAAAACAGGAGAGGGCAAGACGACAAGAGGAGCAGGATAAAAAACGAGAGATTGAAATTGCTAGACAGAAAGAAAGGTTCAGACTAAGAGAGGAGGAGAGGCAGAGAGAGGAGGAGAGAGAGGAGGAGAGAGAGGAGGAGAAGAACCCTGAAGAGGAGGAGGAGAATGAAGATGACAAGGAGGATCTTGTCCCAGCCGATAAAAGTATCCGAAGGAGAGCTGTGGGCTGGGTGAATAAGAAGTGGGAGAAGAGGAACCTCAGAAAGATAGAGAGAACATATCAGAGAGAGAAGGAGGAGGGCCATAAGATCATCAACGTTGGTAAGACCTGTTTTCCCTCTGCTTATGACATCATCATCATCATCATCTTTAGTCTCTTCTACACACACATAAGTTCCACACCAGTCATCATGTTGCATCATTGTTTCAATATAAACTACTGACCCAAAATGGACAAGCTGATCTTGTATCAACTTAAATGTAATGTACACAGGGAATGTAGAATTGAAAACCCAACTGGATCTCAATGACCCTGGTAAAAAGTAGTGCACCATTGCCTTTTGGGGGCCCTAAGCAACATTTTGTTTAGGTTTTTGAGTACATTTCCTCCAAATATACACTTTGCAATGGGAAGAGAAAATATTGCAGTTTTTAAACAAGTTTGTTGCAATTCTACCATGGGGTGGAGAGAAGATTTTACAATTATAGAAAACATTTCATGCAATTTTACACATTTTGCCATGGGGTGGAGAGAAGAATTTGCAGTTTTAAAGATAATTTCCTGCAGTTCTAAACATTTTGCCATGGGGTTGAGTGAAAACTGCAGTTTGAAAGCTAATTTCCTTAAATTCTACACATTTTGCCATGGGGTTGAAAGAAAATGTTGCAGTTTTAAAGCTAATTACTGGTAGTTCTGCACATTTTGCCATGGGATGGAGATAAATGTTTTCAGTTTTGAAGCTAATTTCCTGCAATTCTACACATTTTGCCATGACTAATGCCATGTTAAGATGATATCTGAATGAGAGTGACTAACAAAATCAATGGGGGCTCACTGCAGGTCAAGGCCCCTGGGCACGTGCCCTTCGTGCCTGGTCCGTAATTCGATCATGATTACTACAAGTTAGCTGGCTAGACTAACTTACCAATCTAAAATATGTTAGCTAACATGGCTAATTGAGTGACTGACTGACATACAAGAAAAATACTGCTGATTTAACAACCAAGTTTAGAAATTGTACCTGGTGTCATTTACTATTCTAACTCTCAAGAGTTATTTGAGACCCCGAAAGAGTTCCTAAAAAAGACAAAAAAAAATATGTAAATGACTTGCTTTGACGGGGGGGGGGGGGGGGGGGGGGGGGGGTCTAGTGGCCATGGGGCCCTAAGCGATCGTATATGCCTAGGGCCGGCCCTGGCACTATATAAGGAATAGGTGCCATTTGGGACTCATGTTAAACTTAGGGTCAGGTCAATTCAGGACGGGAATTATTGCACTTTATTGACAAATACCATGCCTTGCTCAATTGAAATGAGTATAGAATCATTGAGATCCAATTGGGGGTTCTGTTCTTAATTCCCTGTGTCCATTGCATATAAGTTGATACCTGATCCCCTAAGTTGAATGTGAACTCTGCTTCTTCTCCCCTCCCAGTCATCCCTGGACACATAGTGATAACAACCCACATCACCCGGGCCGAGAGAGAGAGGGAGAAGAGGAAGGAGCTCCTGAAGGATGAGGAGATAAGGAAGAAGCTGGAGGATTATAATAAGCAGTGGAGAGCCCAGTCCCTGCTTAGAAAACAACATAAACGTGAAGAGGAGAGGGAGAGGATGAAGGAACAGTCCCTAAATGAAAAGCAGGAGAAATGGCTGGAGCAGATGAATCTGGATGATGCTCAAATCAAGAAGTGCAGCACCCAGTACATCACCCGCTGTCCAACCAAGAGCTTAAGCCAAGAGCCCATTGGATCTGGAGAAGGCCAGCAGGAGAGGCCAAGGAGGCAACAGGCATGGGCAGAGAACCAGCAGGGGGGGCCAGAGAACCAGCAGGGGGGGGCCAGAGAGCCAGCAGTTAAAGGCTCAAGAAGAGGCTGAGACAGCAGAGCCAAAGTGCAAGAAAAAGAAAACTCCAGGCATCTGGAAGAGAATTAAGATGGGGTAAATAATGTTTCCAAATGTATTGATGTTTTACACTGTTAATATATATTTTGCCACTTTAAAAAGTGACATTATCCAAATGTGAGTGTTTAGTGTACATGCAACACACATGTATGTAGATACTTACCTGTCTCTGTGATTTCTTACAGCATTCCTAACCTGCTGTCTGCTGAGAGCTGCAACTCAACAAAGCCACAGTGCCACTGGGGTTACGCTGGTAATACATACAAGTGTCGCCCAATAATTCCTCCTCCTCTTCAATTCTTCATGCCCTTTTAAGCTCCTCAAGCCAGCAAGTATCCTCTTAATCAAGGCAACAAACCGTCTAAGGTCATCAACTCTCCTCCCCAGACCACAGATTCTCATCTTTATCCGTTGAATTCATCTCTCCTCACCACCTTACCTGTCCTAGAACATATCCCCAAATGGACATGATTTAAACAGAAGTCTTCCCCTCAGTCCAGTGGCTCCACAGACCAGAGTTTCTCATCTTTATTCAAGTTGAACGCAACTCTGATCATTTCCACCACCCCACCTGTCCTAGAAAATATCCCCAAATGGACATGGTTTGACATGGACCCCTCCTGTCCTAGACCTAGAAGATAACTCCCAATAAATGATGACACAAGTTGAGAGGGACAGCGATGGAGCAGCACCCCTCGGACGAAGAGCCATTTCAGGATTAAGTGTCTTGCTCTAGGGCACAATGACAGGAGATGGTCCCTGAGAGTAGAGCCTAGCAGCCCCACGGTTGCTAGTTCAGTTCCCACTGCTGGTCTTAGGAGGTGTTAAGGGGAGGTGCTGAGGAGGAGGTCTGGGAGAAGGTCTGCAGGTAGCCTGAACCGGACCGGTAGCAACTAAGTTGCTGGCTCAATCCCCGGGCAGAGCTGCTCAAGTCAGGCCAGTGATGTTTGATGATGTCATTTTTGTTTGCAAAGTTTTAAGCTTTAATAAAATAATGAATTAAAAAAGCAATATTGTTGTTACGGTGTCGATTGTTTTGTTATGTATTAGAATTGAAACATCCAGTAGTCATGGTAGATGTTAGACTTTTAATGAGACACCTAACATTCCATCAGTTTGCTACAATGTGTGACATGTTATATTAGAGAGTCATCTATACACATCTATTTTAGACCATAGGAGAAATATCAGATTGAAATAGCTTCAACTGAGTGCCTTTTGGGGAGTTTAACTTTTATTTCACCTCATTTTAACATTCTGCCATAAAGAGCACATGTTCAACTTAATAAAAAACATGTTTTCCCCATCTGGAGTAAAAAATACATACTATAGTAATTGCCTATTAAGTGCCAAATAAAGTAACAGGGTTGACTGTAACAGGGTTGACTGTAACAGGGTTGACTATTTCATTTTGAATCGACCACAAATCCCTGTGTGACAGGGGGAATGGAATGCAAGCTTGCCAAACAAATGTAAATTGTTGAAATAATTCTAGACCTTCTATCTATGGGTAACAGGGTTGTAATGTTATGCTTGACCCACCCAGTGGTGATTTTAGCATGTCAATGTTGGTGGGGCAAACTCCTGCATTTTTTTCCCTTCCAGATGCATGCCAGCAAAGCCACAACACAACACTAAACAATACATTGATTGCACTATAACTGTGCCAAACGGTGCCCACAAACTGATAGAGCCTACATAAAGCTGTCCCAACTGCAGAACTGCAGGGTTTTTCTTTGTCCGCCCGCCTCTTGAGGATTGAAAAATGTATGCACTCACTAACTGTAAGTCGCTCTGGATAAGAGCGTCTGCTAAAAAATGTAAATGTAAAATGTAAAATGAGTTCTCAATGGGATTAAGGTCTGGGGAGTTTCCTGGCCATGGACCCAAAATGTGGATGTTTTGTTCCCCGAGCCACTTAGTTATCACTTTTGCCTTATGGCAAGGTGCTCCATCATGCTGGAAAAGGCATTGTTCGTCACCAAACTGTTCTTGGATGGTTGGGAGAAGTTGCTCTCGGAGGATGTGTTGGTACCATTCTTTATTCATGGCTGTGTTCTTAGGCAAAATTGTGAGTGAGCCCACTCCCTTGGCTGAGAATCAACCCCACACATGAATGGTCTCAGGATGCTTTACTGTTGGCATGACACAGGACTGATGGTAGTGCTCACCTTGTCTTCTCCGGACAAGCTTTTTTCCCGATTCCCCAAACAATCGGAAAGGGGATTCATCAGAGAAAATGACTTTACCCCAGTCCTCAGCAGTCCAATCCCTGTACCTTTTGCAGAATATCAGTCTGTTCCTGATGTTTTTCATGGAGAGAAGTGGCTTCCTCGCTGCCCTTCTTGACACCAGGCCATCCTACAAAAGTCTTTGCCTCACTGTGCGTGCAGATGCACTCACACCTGCCTGCTGCCATTCCTGAGCAAGCTCTGCACTGGTGGTGCCCTGATCCCGCAGCTGAAGAAACTTTAGGAGACGGTCCTGGTGCTTGCTGGACTTTCTTGGGCACCCTGAAGCCTTCTTCACAACAATTGAACCTCTCTCCTTGAAGTTCTTGATGATCCGATAAATGGTTGATTTAGGTGCAATCTTACTAGCAGCAATATCCTTGCCTGTGAAGCACTTTATGTGCAAAGCAATGATGACGGCACGTGTTTCCTTGCAGGTAACCATGGTTAACAGAGGAAGAACAATGATTTCAAGCACCACCATCCTTTTAAAGCTTCCAGTCTGTTATTATAACTTAATCAGCATGACAGAGTGATCTCCAGCCTTGTCCTCGTCAACACTCTTACCTGTGTTAACGAGAAATCACTGACATGATGTCAGCTGGTCCTTTTGTGGCAGGGCTGAAATGCAGTGGACATGTTTTTTTTGGGGATTAAGTTCATTTTCATGGCATAAAGGGACTTTGCAATTCATCTGATCACTCTTCATAACATTCTGTAGTATATGCAAATTGCCATCATAAAAACTGAGGCAGCAGACTTTGTGAAAGTTAATATTTGTGTCATTCTCAAAACTTTTGACCACGACTGTACACAACAGACACTTACTATTACTTTCTTAGCTACAGTATACATATGAAGGAGGCTTTGTTTGCGAAATAGGAAGCCGATTCTAGATTTAACTTTGGATTGGAGATGCTTAATGTGAGTCTGGAAGGAGAGTTTACAGTCTAAGCAGACATCTAGGTATTTGTAGTTGTCCACATACTCTAGGTCAGACCCGTCGAGAGTAGTGATTCTAGTCGGGTGGGCGGGTGCCATCAGCGTTCGATTGAAGAGCATGCATTTAGTTTTACTAGTGTTTAAGAGCAGTTGGAGGCTACCGAAGGAGTGTTGTATGGCATTGAAGCTCGTTTGGAGGTTTGTTAACACAGTGTCCAATGAAGGGCCAGATGTATACAAAATGGTGTCGTCTGCGTAGAGGTGGATCTGAGAATCACCAGCAGCAAGTGCGACATCATTGATAAACACGGAGAAAAGAGTCGGCCCAAGAATTGAACCCTGTGGCACCCCCATAGAGACTGCCATAGGTCCAGACAACAGGCCCTCTGATTTGACACATTGAACTCTATCTGAGAAGTAGTTGGTAAACCAGGCAAGGCAGTCATTTGAGAAACCAAGGCTATTTAGTCTGCCAATAAGAATGCGGTGGTTGACAGAGTTGAAAGCCTTGGCCAGGTCGATGAAGACGGCTGCACAGTACTGTCTATTATCGATCGCGGTTATAATATCGTTTAGGACCTTGAGCGTGGCTGAGGTGCACCCATGACCAGCTCGGAAACCGGATTGCATAGCGGAGAAGGTACGGTGGGATTCGAAATGGTCGGTGATCTGTTTGTTAACTTGGCTTTTAAATACTTTGGAAAGGCAGGGCAGGATGGATATAGGTCTGTAACAGTTTGGATCTAGAGTGTCACCCCCTTTGAAGAGGGGGATGACCGCGGTAGCTTTACAATCTCTGGGGATCTCAGATGTTACGAAAGAGAGGTTGAACAGGTTAGTAATAGGGGTTGCGACAACTTTTTTTAGAAAGAAAGGGTCCAGATTGTCTAGCCCAGATGATTTGTAGGGGTCCAGATTTTGCAGCTCTTTCAGAACATCAGAATTTGTGTGAAGGAGAAGCAGGGGGGGGGGGGGGGGGGGGGGGGCATGGGCAAGTTGCAGCGGAGGGTGCAGAGCTGGTGGCCGGGGTAGTGGTAGCCAGGTGGAAAGCATGGCCAGCCGTAGCAAAATGCTTATTGAAATTCCCGATTATTATTTATCGGTGGTGATAGTGTTTCCTAGCCTCTGTGCAGTTGGCAGCTGGGAGGTGCTCTTATTCTCCATGGACTTTACAGTGTCCCAAAACATTTTGGAGTTAGTGCTACAGGATGCAAATTTCTGTTTGAAAAAGCTAGCCTTTGCTTTCCTAACTGCTTGGTATATTGGTTCCTAACTTCCCTGAAAAGTTGCATATCGCGGGGGCTATTCGATGCTAATGCAGTACGCCACAGGATGTTTTTGTGCTGGTCAAGGGCAGTCAAGTCTGAGGAGAACCAGGGGCTATATCTGTTCTTAGTTCTGAATTTTTTGAATGGGTCATGCTTATTTAAGATTGAGAGGAAAGCACTTTTAAAGAACAACCAGGCATCCTCTACTGACAGAATGAGATTGATATCCATCCAGGATTCCTGGGCCAGGTCAATTAGAATGCCTGCTAGCTAAAGTGTTTTAGGGAGCGTTTGACAGTGATGAGGGGTGGTCGTTTGACCGCAGACCCGTTACAGACGCAGGCAATAAGGCAGTGATCGCTGAGATCCTGGTTGAAGACAGCGGAGGTGTATTTAGAGAGGAAATTAGTCAGGATGATATCTATGAGGGTGCCCATGTTTACGGATTTAGGGTTGTACCTGGTAGGTTCCTTGATAATTTGTGTGAGACTGAGGGCATCTAGTTTGGATTGTAGGATGGCCGTGGTGTTAA